ATAATTGAGTTTTCATACCACAGTGTAGTCAGCCAATTAAAAAACCACCACCAAACACAGAGTTGCCATAATTTTAGCTAGGAAAAGTTTTTTTACGGGTAAAAATTAATGCCTATTTTGGCCATTAAAAATAAACAAAAACAAAAATACCTCAGCCAGCCAACCAACCAACGAAACTACAGTCACCTAAGAAAAAAACAAACAAACAAAAAAAAAACCTAATGTGTCTGGCGTGAAACAGTTTAACTTCCTGATGAGCTGAAGCTATCTGTATGTTATTTATCTATATGCTGTCTGAAGTTTAAAATGCATACCAGAAAAATTTTTGTTGTAGAGGATCATTAGCTCTAAGCCAGTTGGGTCAACTTCAGAGCCAACCCCAGACAGCGCAACTTCTGATAGCCCCGCACAGAATGCAGAGAGAAGGCTGCAAAGAATTTAGGGTTCTAACCACGTTTACAATCCCTGGGCTATTAGAAAACACTACTAAGTCAACACATTTGTTCTTAGGTTGACAATGATTGGTCTGAAGTGGTTTTGTTTCCTAAAACTACAAAAAAAACCCCAAAAAACCAAATCCATTGCCGTTGAGTTGATTCCAACTCATAGTAACCCTACAGAACAGAGTAGAACTACCCCATAGGGTTTCAGAGGAGTTGCTGGTGGATTCAAACTGACGACCTTTTGGTTAGCAGCCATAGCTCTTAACCACTGCGCCACCAGGGCTCCGATAGCTACCTTTTAAGACTGAGAAGAAGCTAAAAATTTTGGAATCGTTTAAGTTCACATTAAATCACCCAGATTCACCCAAAAAGCAAAACCCACTCTGTGTTTTATGCATGAATGATAAGCAACTGAATGTGGGTTTACATCTTAATAAGTTGTATATCAGAATATTTTTCAAAAAGTAACTAAAATGTAATATATCTCTCTACATGAGATCAAAAAAATTTACAAATGTATCGTTAAAATGATAGAAATTACTGTTTTGCCAAATCTGAGTTGATGGGTAAAATAAAATATACATAAAAGCTCTATTCAAATTTAAAGTCCCTTGTACATTGAAATGTATTATCTTAATTATAAAGTATACTCCATGTGTTACCTTTTCTTAAAGAAGCTGCTTGATGCCTTTCACACTACAACATAATAATGTCACGTGTCAGGAAGATATAATCTATGATTAATGTTTATAAATTATTACTGAAATACTGAGGATTCTGCAGCTCCAAGCAATATAAATTTTTGCTAGGAGAAGATACTGCCTACATGAAAGAGTAAATATGATCTATAGAATCAAAATAACCCTCTCTGTACTTTTTTTCACAAGCCCTCAAAGTTGGTCACTTTGAAATAGAAAAGTTACAAAATCTATGTCTCCAATATTAATGAAAGAAATGAATATGTGAAAATATGATCTCTGATATTTTTTACCTAGATTTATAATACAGAATTAACCAGTTTTAAAGAAACTACCGAATAAATTAGTTTTCACTTAAGGTCCGAGGAAACGAGCAATGTTGTGTTTTTAAACCTATAAGCAAAATGTATCCTTTCCATCAACTCATGTTGAACTTGATGTTAAATAAAGACTCTTGGTCACATGACCTTCCATCAAATCAAGTCCTCCAATTCCATACTGTGAAAAATATTTGCTGTACCCATATGACATAGAATTTTTTCTACCACTGAAAGTAAAATTATATGAGTGGGCAGTTAGAGTGATACGACTAGTAAATCAAAGCACAGAACTAGTATGCGTGGGAACACCCAAGCCCAGAATATTTTTGATATTACACAATATTAATTTTCCATTGTTGTCAATATTGCGCTTATAGATGCTTAAGTCACAGATTTCAATCCAAAATATTAATAACAATAAAAGCTAAAGCTTATGTGACAGGAAGCTTCTAAGCACTTAACATCTATTAGCTCACTTAACTGTTCAAACACTAACTATTGATATCCAATTTATATAGCTGGTGAACTAGAAGCATAGGAAGATTAAGTAACTTGCCCAAGGTCACAGCTTTTAAAGGACAGGGCCAAAACTACTAACCCAGATGAGCTGATCCCAGAGCCTGTGTTCTTAACTGCTACCTAAAAGGCTGGTGGGTTTAAACCTTGTGGTGCACTTAATTACTGTGCCACCAGGGCTCCTTATCAATGAACTGCTGGTGTTGATAAGTGCCCTTGCGTCAATTCTGACTCATAGCAACCCTATGTACAACAGAATGAAACACTCCCGGTCCTGGGGCATCCTTACAACTGATCGATCATTTGGAAGTCTAAAATAATGCACACTTAATATGTAGATATTAATATTGTGGGTCATTCCAAATATTACTACATATATTTTATTAACACAAATTAACTTTAAAAAAGAAGGAAACTTGGAAAAATGTGATAGAATATGCTCTTTTATTAGGATTTAATTGCATATATAATACAATACTTAAATTCTTATAATAATAGCAACAGTCATCAGCTTCTTTAAGAAAAGGTAGTGAATACAGCAGACTCCATAATTAAGAGAATGTCTTATATGTATAAGAATCCCTTGGTTGGTGCAAACTGTTAATATGCTCAACTGCTATCCAAAAGGTTGGAAGTTCGAGTCTACCCACAGGTGACTTGGAACAAAGATGTGGTGATGAACTTCCAAAAACTCAGCCATTGAAAACCCTGTGGAACACAGTTCTACTCTGACACACGTGGGATCACCATGAGTTGGAGTCAATAAGCTGGTGACTGGCTCTGTTTCTTTCAAAAATACAAAAACCACCAAACCTGCAGCAGTCCAGTGGATTCTGGTCTACAGCAACACTATAGGACAAAGGAGAGCTGCCCATAGGGTTTTCAAGGCTGTAATCTTCATAGGAGCAGACCGCCACATCTTTCTCCTGCGGAGCAGCTGCTGGGGTTAAACAGCTGACTTTCAGTTAGCAGCTGAGCCCTTAACTACTGTGCCACCTGGGCTCCCTGCCTTGCATATGTAAAGCACTTCAGGATTCTAATGAGTACCAGTCAGGGTTATGCTTATGTGATGTACATGCCTGATCTCATCCGGTCCTCAGCAGCACCATTACTTTTATTACTGGGAGGAAACCTAAGCTAAGAGAGGACAGGTAACTTGCTCAGAGGAACCCAGTCAGTGATGGAGGAGGCAGAGCTAGATTCCAAAACCAGGCAGCTTGATCCTGCCTAAACACCAAGGTCTCATTTATGTAACAGGTACCTTAAATTAGGGTTGGAACTAACTGATTTAAATGTGTTATCTCAAATAATCCTCAAAAACCTATAAAGCTGGTACTATTCTATCTCATTTTTACTAAGAAAACCAATAGACTGAGGCATAGCTGTATACACAGATTATTTTAAACCACATGAAGTTATTCTTTTTATGTTAGGTGCCGTCAAGTCAGTTCCAACTCAAAGCGACTGTATGTCCAACAGAACGAAATTCTTTTTATAATAATGGTCAAATATGGAAATCTCATGTGTTCAACCTAATATGAATACGATATAGATACAGATGTAGACAAAAAGTACAAATATAGGGAGATATATAGAAATATGGAGCCCCGGGGGCACAGTGGTTAAGAGTTATGGCTACTACCCAAAAGGTTGGCAGTTTAAATCCACCAGCTGCTCCTTGGAAACCCTATGGGGCAGTTCTACTCTGTCCTATAGGGACACTATGATTTGGAATTGACTCGACTGCAATGGATTTGTTTTGAGGTATATAGAAATACGGAAAACCAACAAAGTCTTAACAATCACTGATAAGTGATAAAATAATGTTTAACATTTTCTTCATTGTGCGTAATCATGAATTATCTTTATCTGAGAGGTCAATGTTTATGTTTTCCATCTTTTTGAAACTGTTGTGTATTCCACTAGATCCTTTCAGCAGGATCATTAGCTTATTTGGAGAACATATGCCCATTTGGAAATATGTATCAGCAGCTCAGTATGTCCCCAAATTCCATTTAATAATTTTTTCTCTTCAGAAAACAATTAGCTACAAGATTATTCATCAAAGCATTGCATATATTAGTGAAAACAGAAGCACACTAAATGTTGGTAAATTCTGGTTGATCATACATCGAATGCAATGCATTTTTACAGAACAACATTAAGTAATATGAAACGTATTTATTATATAGGATTAAATAAAAAGTAGCTTCCAAATCGTATATAAAATATAATCTTGTTTTTATAAGAACAATATGAGAGTGGCAACAAAGAGCCAAAAAGTGAATAGTGCTTACCTCAAGAGAATGAGAGTAATGGTTCATTTTTTTGATATAATCCATCTTTTCTAAAATTTTCTGCAATTAATATGCATTTTATAGTAAGCAAGGAAATTTTAGGAAAAATATATTTTTAAGTGAAAAAAATTTATTACCCAATTTCTTTCCCCACCAACTAGAATTAGGCCTGCAAGCTTCAGCTATAAGATAAGGGAGCTGAGCAAACGTTTCATCCATACAGTGGCTAACACTGCTTCTCCTTTTCCTCCATATTGTTTTTGCCATTATTATCATTTTTCTTCAGAACAGTTCACATACTTGACATGTTCACTTCAGAGACTGTGTTAAGCACTATCTCATTTATTCTAACAACAGTCCTATGGGATAAGCTACTACAATGTTCTCCATAATCTGCAGAATTTTCTCTAACTAGCTAAGTCAGATGCAATGTTCCAAAAGATTCATGTAAGCAGCAATTCAGAAAAATAATAACAATAATTTAATCCTGGAAGAAATTCTCATGTAAAGTAAGAAAGGGAGGTTATTTGTTTCCCTCTAGGTAATATGCTTAGTGTGGGTCACACAATGTATATTTAATATGAATACTTGATTTAGGATAGCGTTCAAAATTTTGGAATGGGGGAATGGAATGGAATGGAATGGAAAGGAATGATATGGAAGTAAATGGTGTATACATGTGAGAATACAGACCACAACTCTGTTTCTTTTTAATTAAATATGCAGCTCAACTCCTGAAGTGGGACATGAAAAATTGCACAGCTGGTTCAATTAATACAAATGGTATATCTACAAGTCTCACAGGAAAAGAAAATGACAGCAAAGGTGAAACAAGATTTCGAGAAATTGTTATGGAACACATGAGCATCCTGGAGAAGAGAATCCACTATATTGCAGATACGGAAACCAACCTTATAGACTCAGAGCATTTCCAGAATTTCAGTGTGACAACTGATCAGAGGTTTAATGATGTTCTTTTCCAGCTAAGTACCTTAGTTTCCTCAGTGCATGGACATGGAAATGCAATAGAGGAAATCTCCAAGTCCTTAATGAGCCTGAATACCACATTGCTTGATTTACTGCTCAGGACAGAAACGCTGAATGGCAAAGTTCAAGAGAATACATTTAAACAACAAGAGGTAAGGTGTTTTGTATTGGAAGGTCGCATGCTGGGATTGAATACATTCAGCAGATCCTGTCTCCTCAGGCAGTTCAGGAAAGTGAAAGTTGCAAACCATGTTTCAACATAATCCTGTTTACTCCTCTGGTAACCTTACTAAAAAGTGTCAAATGAATTTACCCAGTACCTTCTCCAGGACTCTTGGCAAAAGGGGGATTCCCCTCCACCCCATTGGATATAACAGACTTAAGGTATTTTAATTTTGTATGACCATATCGTACAGAAAACACCAAAGGATCATGGAAAGAGGAGATGGATGTGGCGATATCCTATTCTAGAGCAAAGTTGGGGGTGAGAAAGGTAGAGTTAGAGCGGTGGAAGCCAATGTGGCCAATCTGGACTTACTCTCGTGTCTTTCCAAAGGTTCGACAGCAGAGCTGCCCGCATCCTCTCACCCCAGCTTGTCTTGTTCTGTCCAGGAATGTGTAATTTGCTCTTCACACCTGGACTAAGGAACAAACATCACTGGTTTTTGAATGGGAAATGAGAATCCATCCACAGTTAAACATAGAAATAATTATGAAAGAATAAAGCATACCATGAAGATCGAGGATGGGCTAAAAGTAGAACAAAGAGGCAGAAAACATAGCCAGAAGAAATTAGAAGGTTTGGTATATCTGAAAAAGAAAGCCCAACACCCCCAAGAGAAAGTCAAGCGAAGGACCTAACAGAAAAAGTAATAAAGAAAAATATAAGTTGCTAAAAAATTATGACTGAATGCTTAAGGTCATTACAATTTGAAAAGGAGAGTAAACAGCAATGATTTATGATAGATCTACAATTACGCTGTAAACTTAGAATGATGGTGCCTTGTATTTGAGTGAATAGTCACTCCTTAAGCACTTAGTAAGATAAAAAAACTAGTTGCATATATTTGGAGGACAATGTGGCAATATTGAACAAAAATTTTAATGTTTAGCCCTTTTGATCAAATCCACTTCCAGGAAGCTGTCCTATAGAAGCACTTGTACAAATATGTAAAAATGTATGGAATTGTGTTCATTGAAGCATTGTTTAAAATTGTTTATTAAAAAATGCACAGCTCAAAACTTTTATCAATAGAAATCTCAAACTATGAAAAATTAATATCATACCATTAAGTTATTGAAAATAAGGCAGTCTCTAATAATACTAAAATATCCTAAATATTATTATTGAATAAAATATAAAACCACAGTCCAGAATATAGTATTCTCTTTGCTCTTATTACTACTCTATAAATATATATATGTGCATGCATATAAATATGCACAAAATATGTATATACTTGAAAACTACGTTATTCTTACTGTTCAGTACTACTGAGAATTGTGATAGGAAAGTCTTGTTATTATTATAAAACAGTTTAATTCATAAATAAATTATATTCACAGGATAGGAATATGTTGCCCCTCTAAGTAACCACATGAAGAAATTTCACTTCAAGATAAATTGCAAACAATTTGGCAAGTTTTTAGTTTAATTTAATTTTTTTAGTTTTTTGATATTTGTATTAGAGAATAGAAGCATAACTTAGATGTGTTCAACTAATTTTGGGCAGAGTGTATACATTCATTTAGTCAAAAAAAGGAAATGTATCAGAACTAAACAATTACATTTTGAAGTTCTCTAATTTCCGTATTCTTTTTCCATGCTATTTCTGTAGTGTTACCTATTTTTTAAAATTTGAATTTCCAGGGGTTTTTTGAACCTATACATTTGATAATTATGCACGTAACAAAAATTGTGGTTGGTGGCTTACGTTTTTTAGGAAATCAGAAAATTAGAGGAGCATGTGTATAATGCATCAGCAGAAATCATGTCTATGAAAGAAGAACAAGTGCATCTGGAACAGGAAATAAAAGGAGAAGTGAAACTATTGAATAACATCACAAATGACCTCAGACTGAAAGATTGGGAGCATTCTCAGACATTGAGAAATATTACTTTAATTCAAGGTAAAATATCTTCTCATTCTTCCAGAAAATGATACATTACAATGTACATACGCAGAAATTTGGAATTCAGTATCCTATGGTTTAAAATAAATAGTTTGTTAGAATACATTTTTTACACATACCCAGAGGAAGGAATCTTAAGATCAGGACTTGGTAACATAACCAGTAGCTGGTATACTTTAAATAGAAGGAGATAAACAATGGAAATATCTCGTAAGAACTAATGAGTAGTTCATTGTTGAAAACATACCATACGTCCTAAGACGAATATAAGTTCCCTGTGGGGTGCAAAGTTCTCTAAAAAAAAAAAAAAAAAAAACCCATTGCCAACAAGTCGATTTCAACTCATAGCAACCCTGTAGGACAGAGTAGAACCGCCTCATAGGGTTTCCAAGGAGTAGCTGGTGGATTCAAACTGCCAACCTTTTGGTTAGCAGCCAAACGCTTAACCGCTGTACCACCAGGGCTCCTCCATAAATCAAGTTTGTTAATTCTGTTTCTCAATTTCCAGGTTCTTAATTACTTCTTACCTAATTGTATTATTAATTAGAAAGGTATTCTGAATTTTCCAAGATAATGGTAGATATATCATTTCTTCTTCAGTTACTGTTAGTAGAACAAAGTGAACTGAATCTTTTTATTGTAACCTTTAAGTATTATTTACATTATAAATATTTTTCTATCTTTTACTCTCAACATCTTTGCATCTTTTGTTTCAGCTTTGTCTCTTGTAAAGAATGTTTATCTTGATTTTTAATTTTTTAGATACAATCTGACAATCCTTTCCAATTATGTTTATTTCTAACATATTACCTTGTGCTTTACTTTTTTTTTCCAGTTTGTTCTATGCTTCTTTTGCTATTCTTTCTTGCCTACTTTTGGATAGAGATTTTTGTCTTCTTATTCCATTCTTCTCTCCACTGGTTTTGAAAACTTTTAGAGTCTATTTCTATTTTCTTGATGGTTATCCTTGAAATTTTGCTGTACAAATTTATCTTAAAAATGTCTAATGTGGCTTAGTATGTCTCAATTTTCTTCCTAAAATATGCAAGGTACTTAAAATGCTTTGTCTGATAGCCCCATTCCCTAGTTTCTGGCTGGCTTTTGTATAAACTAACAAGTGCTCTATCATATGTTCGTGGTTAAGATCAATAAGATGACTTCACATGTCCTCTTTATATAAACAGCTGCTAAATTGATCATGGAAATAAAAGGAATAAAAAAATTTTCTGGTACATTTCTCATGTAATTGTAATTAGAGTCTGAAGGACTAAATGGAATTTCTTTGTTGAAATCATAAATCAGAGGCATTTTTGATGTGATTATGGAACAGAATTTTGAACAGTCTGAATAGTAACCAAGACCAAAGAAAAGGCTGCAACGGACTCCAAGTCTCCTTTAAGTGCTGCATGCTCTTTTCCATACTATGGCAGAACAGATGACCACATTTCTTTACTGTTGATGTAGACACTATAGAAAGGATTCTTGTTAAAGAAAACTGACCCTGGAGGATATGTGAGGGTAGAACAGGCGAAACACAGGCAGACCAGATAAAAAAACTCTAACAGCAGACCAACAGTGGAAAGATAAAGATGTGAGCTATGGCCGGGATGGAGCAGAGACCAGTGTGGGAAGGTAGCACTACAATATCATGTTGGTAATGTTCTCAACATTTCTAAAAGGAAGCTAAGAGTAAAATGGTGTGCGATGTCTTTACTTCCATTACAAGAACGTAAATCCAAAAGACACTAAAAACATTTATTGAGAACCTTCCCACAGTTTGTTCTAGGCAGTGGAAGAGCTATAACAATGTGTAAAAATGAAATTTATAATAGAATAGGTGTCACATGAAGACTAAGATAACAATAAAAGTACAACATCCAACACACTTAGTTAGAACTATTTAAGGAAAATCCTTACCTGGTTTTCTTACTCTAGGCATAAGATACCAGGTATCAGTGTTTTATACAAAAATACAAACAGGAATCAAGTCAGAATTTCATAAAACAGCACAGATGTATTTGTTGTGAGCGATTGAACAAATGCTCCGAAATGAGAGCTTTATGCGGTTCATGTAGTTCGCTACATGCAAAATAATTGAAAGGATAGTAATTCTGAGATAATTGCATTTCTCACTTATAAAATAATGGTGGTAACTCTTAACCTCCGAGGCTAAGGGACTAGGGCCGGTCTGAGCATCCCTTGTTTCTTACCTCAGACATTGTCGTGTTTCCTGAAATATCTGTGTCTTGTGTTAGAGCTCTAATTCCCGAGTCAAAGTCTTTTCTTAGGCGCTGTTTTCCTCGCGCTATCTTTGAGTGCTATGGATCTGCTTCCCTGCAGTTTGCTCAACAAAATTCACGCTACTTAATTGAGCTGCTGCTTCTGCCCTCCTCGGCCTCTATAAAGATGAATGATTGGCAGCTGTGCTCATGATTGTGGAAGCTAAATCCTCTTTGTCAGAAAGAACTACAGTCTGCACAGAGTGGGAGACGCAAACAGGTTTCCACTGGTGTAGATCCAAGACAATGCTTGTGAACCACTTCCATACATGTCTCCCAACAATGAGCAACAGCTCAGGATGCTAGTGAACCACTTGAATGCCCAGTGGTATGAAGCTTGCATGATACTTATGTGAAAAAATTGACAACAACAAAAGATACTGGAAAGAAATATGATAGAAATATGAATTATATTTTTTCATACTTTTTTTAGGCATTTATGTTTCCTATATTAAGTAGAGTAGCTTTCATAATAAAAATACAATAAAATATTACTGTCCACTCTGTCAACCCAGAACTGAAACTATTCCCGAGGCCAACTCTTCAGACAAAGATTAGACTGGACTATGCGACATAAAATGAGACTCAGGAAGAGTGTGCTTCTTAGCTCAAGTAGATTCATGAGACTAAATGGGCAGCTGCTGTCCAGAGGCGAGATGAGAAGGGAGAGAGGGTCAGGAGCTGGTTGAATGGACATGGGAAATCAGAAGTAGAAAGGAGGAGTGTGCTGTCACAGTAGAGGGAAAGCGATGAGGGTCACATAACGATGTATGTATAAATTTTTGTATGGCAGACTAACTTGAATTGTAAACTTTCACTTAAAGTATAACAATAAGAAAAAGGGAAAAACATTACTGTCCAATGTTTTATATGAAGAGAAAGGAGCAAGGCACCACTCAGAAGAGCAATAATCTCTTGAAATTGAGTAATTACAGAAGGAAGATTCTAAATCCCTTGAAAAATGGGATGGGTCAGATAAATGCAGAGAAACAGGGAACAAGGACTTCAAAAGAAGCAAATACACAAAACATATATGTTGGACATATATACTTATTCATGAGACAACCTTTATTTATATGGCCCCTGTTAGAATTCCTCAGGAACGGTTCCCTCCCAGCTGATTAAAATTTCTAAACCTGTGCTCTCTACCAATGGTGCTCCATAGAGTTCTGTGTTATCTTTGTGCTGGGTGTGCGTGGCCAAACCGCAGCAAAGGAAAATGTCTCCTTTCAAACATCACTATTTCATTATTATATACCACATTCAGGTTTGTTTTTTCCTTTTGGAGGTGAAAAGAAAATTGCTAAGTGTTCTGCTTCAGTGAAGGAACAGTGCTAGCTCTGTGCACTTCTTGTGAAGAAATGCTGGTAGGATTGCCTTTAAGTTCTGAAGACATGCTCAGCACAATCATTGTGCTTACGAGATACCTGTTTTGTTGGACACAAGGAAAGTCAAGCGAGCAAATCAGTGTTGTTCAAACTTGGCACTCGGGAGCCACCTGGGTAATTATGAGGCCACGAAGTACAAGTTGTTCCCAATCTCTGCATTTAATCTTATCTATATCTATAATACGGAGCCCTGGTGGCACAGTAGTTAAGAGCTTGGCTGCTAACCAAAAGGTCAGCAGTTCGAATCCACCAGCTGCTCCTTGGAAACCCTATGGGGCAGTTCTACTCTGTTCTATAGGCTCCCTATGGCAACAGGATTATATCTATACTACCTCCAGACAGGAGCTGCCCATTTGATCTAGTATATCTGATTGAACTAAGAAGCACACTCCTCACATGTACTATTTTTTTTTAATTTTTTATATTTTATTGTACTTCAGGTGAAGGCTTACAGAACAAATAGTTTCTCATGAAACAGTAGTACACAAATGTTGTTTTATGACATTGGTTAACAACCCCACAACATATTAACCCTCTAAATTCT